TTTCGAGTTTTTTTCTACAAAAAATGACAGTTCTAAAGAATTTTTTGGGGTTCCCCTTTATACGCTTTTTGGCAAAGTTCCTCCCATCTAAAACTATATTCTTGCCCGCTAACACAAATATTTTCCTGGAAACAGTTTCTTACATACCTCAACTTCTCGATGTCACTCTTGAGATCATTCAGCTCCGCAATCTGCGTATGTTGTTGTAGACGCAACGCATCCGCTTCGCGCTTAGCTGCCGTTAGAGCGCCCATTATCACATCGTCAATGGAATCAATCAGCTATAAATGTGCCATCTATTAGCAAATCCATAAATCCTCGCAGAAACTGGTTCACCTGATGATCATCCATTTCTGCGTCGATCTTACCGCCATTCAGCGCAACCGCAGCGCATACGCTTCGCAAGCGACTGACAAGCTCTGCTAATTTGGACTTCTCTGACACGAGGTCTTCTCGAAGGCGTTGCGTCTTTTGTGATTCGAGCTCCATCTGAAAAATACAACCATTTTAGCCTTTTGTAATGGAGATTTTTTGTAGTTTCAAGACCCAAAGTCGTAAATTAGTGTGCAAGTAGTGCACCTCAGATAAAGGGCAATGCCTGCTCTAGAATAAAGTCTAAAGGACTTTTTGATTACTTACATCAACAAGACTCTTAGTAAAAAATTGATTATTGGGTATATGTATGCGGTACGCAGCACGTGCATAAGTAGCATCAGCCAACACGCGCGCTAACCGCAACGCATGCACCAAGGGACAGCGCGCGCGAACCGTGACCTTGCGGCAGTAATAAATGGAAAATGGAATTGGCTGTTCATACTCCACTCACCTGCTGCTGTAGCGTTCGATTCTCTGCTTCCAAGTCACCAACACGCGTTTGCAACTCGGCCAGACGTCGCTCGCCTCCTTCCATTCGTCGCTTCGCATCCTCAGCGCAACGCGCACGCTCGCGTAACTCTTCGCACTCCACATCCAAAGCCTCGATACGAGCCTGAAAATCAGGGATTCCTCTCAGGATCACACATGCAAGACTATAGTGTGACTATACCCTGAGTGAATTCCTTTCGGTCTCGGCACTTCGCCTTGCACGTTCATTTGTGGCACTTTGTGTCTCAGCATTAGCTTTTTCTTCGCGAAGTTCATCAACTATCACACGAAGCTGTTTTTGTTCATCACAAACTCGGTGAAGCTGTTTTTCGGTCTGTCGACGTTCTTCTTCAGCTGAGCTGAGCTTACGACGAAGATCTTGAAGCTCAGCTTCCATTTCCATCACCTAAACAAAAAAGGTAAATCGTAAAATTTTTACTCAAAGCTTTAACGCAGCCTTGGCAAGTTGTAAGCGCAGGGTAATGCAAGCGCACCAATGCTTGTGAAGTAATCGATACATGTCAATGCACAGCGACTCACAGGCATTGCCGCCGCGCCACAGATGCAAGACTGCTTAAATCACAATGTAAATTTGCTTCCGTAGTTCAAAATATAAACTTCGACGCAGCCTGAGCAGCGCAATAAATGCAGATCAGGTGAAAGCGCGCACATGTGCCTATAAGGTAATCAATA